GAGCCTTGGGATACTCCACTGCATACTTCCCTCCATGTAGATGCATTTCCATTGAGGACTGTATGTTGAGTGTGGTTGGTCAGTCAGTTACGAATCCATCTGGTGGTGATGCTGTCTAACCCACATTCTTCTACTTTATCTAGTAGTATGTTATGGTCTACCTTATCAAATGCCTTACTGAAGTCCAAGTAAACTATATCGACGGCATTCCTCTGGTCCACTAATTTTGTCACATTGTCAAAGAATGCATAATTTAGTTAACATAAGGATAATGGATAGGAGGACACTGAAAGATAGATTGCTCAAGGATTTGTATCTGCAGTTACATCTTTGAGTACAAGAATGTTATTGTGTAATGATACTTCAATGGTCACTTTTTCTGGTCTCCCATACCTAGAAACACCCTTCTTCTGTACAGCAGTTATATGGAAGTTAGGGATGAGATTATCCTTCTCAAAAAGTGCCAGCCTCCAGTTCTAGACCATCATCCTCAGCAAGATATAACTAGAACCAATTATATCATGTTTCCGTTGCCAAACAAAGACAAGGGAATTCTCTTGGACATTTAATTTTTGGTTATTTAATTTTTGTCACCAAACAGTCAGTTGAACTATTGGCTTAATCTATCAATTGAATTCTCCCAAAGGAGCTTTTTTCAAGAGGCAACTGGACTTTCTGATTTTTCTTTGAAGACTTTTGCTTCTCATCCAAGAAGTTTCTTCAGCTCTGACTGGATGGTGGGAAATGGAAGGATTTATACTCCTCGCATACAGCTGATCATTTGCATTCTTTTAGCAAGTTGTTAAGGTCACCTGGAGGTTTATCTGTGTCATCAGGGTCACCTGAGTGGTGCAAATTGTGTGGAGCCTTCTTGGAACTGTTGAAAGGACTTTGTTGTAGATTGAAGATAGATGATGTCAGACCACTCCCTCTCTGTTGAGAGAGGGCTGTTCAGTTTTGACATAGATGGACTCTTTAATCCCTCTTTCAAACCCCACTTTCAAGCCCCTAGGTCTGGATTGAGAGACAGCACAGAGGTACTGATTATAGAAGAAGAACAGGCACTAAGGTCCAGGTCCATAGAAACGGGTGTCTACCACACTAGACAGGACCTGAGGTGCAGATCATGCAGAGAGATGTCAGAGACATGAAACAATAGGGTGTAAGATGTAGTCAGGAACAACATACACTCAACAGCACTCAACCAAATAGATACTTGGTGTACAGGAACACCTGCAAAGTGTATAGTTAGACTCTCTCAAGTACAGACGAAAGATTCCATAGAAGATTGTGAAGAATAATAGGGCTAAGTCTGGTGGGTAACAGATAAGGATCAGAAGGTAATGGTAGCAGCACTAATTGACAGTACCATCAGCAAGAAGGAGAAGAGAAGCTGGAAAAGCACCAGGGCCTGAAGGAGGAACTAGAGAGGATGTGGAAAGTAATTCCCAATGGTAGTCAAAGGTTTCAGGACTGGGACTATTAAGCTGGGAAAATGGCTCCCACAGATCCCAGGAACAAGATCAGAGTTGTCTGTCCAGAAGAGTACAGTGCTAGGAACAGCTGAGATAGCCCAGTCACTATGTGATTCAGATGGGCAGCAAATATAGTTAGTTAGTTAGTTAGTTAGTTAGTTAGTTAGTTAGTTAGTTAGTAAGTAAGTAAGTAAGTAAGTAATAGGAGTGAAAAGAGAAAGATCTTACTACTGTCAGTTCATAACTGAGCTGTATTGCTCCTTCTGAATCATCTGCATTTTGCAGATTGCTTATGTGCACTAAATGCAATTTAAGTTTTACATCTACAGCGGCAATCCTGGGCACTAATTATACATAACTGATACAGATCAATAATGCATAAGTCATCAATTTTTACATAAGACATCATGGTAAGGGTGAGAAACATATTGCCTAAATATTAGCCCATTTTTATTTTGAAAATTAGAAGATATATAATGCTATTTATAAATAAAGGAGAGCCAATTCTATACAAATGAATACTCATCTATGGGTTATGCCAAATTACTGTGTTTGAAATATTAAACATATCAATAGCTCATCTGGTTTATTTCTTATGAATCAACTAAACTTTAAACTAGTTGGTATCTTTTAATGCAATGTGCAGCCAGAAATTGACTGTGAAATTGAAGTTCTGTCCCTTTTTAAGTCTGTTTGATGTACAGTGCATGTAAAAGGGGCAGGGCTTTGACTGAACAACTGTGGTCATCATGTTGAATTTTTTGACATTTCTATAGATGCCTCAGGCTACAGAGTGTAATTATGAATCAACATCTACAAAGAAGACTATATGGAATTTCTCCATGTCTGTGCTTCTAGGTGACAGGCAGCTGTCAGTTCTGAAAGCTGATAATGATAACTGACCTCTTCCTGAAAGGTGAGCCTAGAGGTTTTCTGCCTGAAGAAGACTTTAAGGGTGGATAATGGGGCTGCAAAGAAAAGATGTGAGTCATCTTGAATGTATGTTGCTTATTACTTTTATTATATGTGTTTATGTCATTGTTTGTATTTCCCCTCCCTGATTTTATGTGAGCCGCCCTGAGTCCCCTCAGGGAAAAGGGCGGCCTACAAATGTTAATAATAATAAACATCTTATCTTTAATTTAAGGATTAATCCTCAGGTCTATATGGCTGTATTTCTCTCAGTATTAATGATATATTGCGGTTAGAAATTATTATAAAATGCTTTGAACTTTGTATAGGCGTTTGAAAGGGTGATATATATTACACGTTTTTTTTAATAATATTGTTCTGGTTTGCACTTCAGTAGGAGAATTCCAGGTAAGTGTCTTTAATTAACCCAGAGATGCAAATGAAAATTAACAACAGCCACATTGAAAGTATGTTAACCAGCCTGTTTAGCGTGGCTTTCCACATACTGTATCAGTGCATTCCAGACATGTGGAAGTAAATTCTCACACTTCCTAGTCAGCAAATCCATTATAAATTAAAGGAGACAATGTCCAAGAGATGAAAAGGGAAGCCAACAGAACAGGCAAATACCAGAGTAATTGATGATATAATATCCAATAATAGATGAGCTAAATTTGCAAGGCTATCTATCATTACAAAACATTTTAGAAGCACACTGATATTAATGATTAAATAGCACGGCCACACATTTTACAATTGTTTCCCTAGACGGTAATGATTAGAGACACAACTGCAGAATTTATGACAATGTCTTTTTATACCTCTCATCTGTGGAATGTCTTTGATAAGTCATTGAATCTTTTGAGTTTCATTTTTCTTTATATAGTACTCTCTGATATTGCTTTCTTGTCTGGAAAATAGAAAAAGGATCCAAGGAAAATAATCTGGATTGTTTTCGGAATGTCAAGCCTTCATTCATCCACTCTATATATTCCAAGATCTCAACACTGTAATTATAACAAAATGAAAGGCTCCAGTCTAGACTTATCCTTGACATGCTGGATCTCCACCTGCAGAAGGGATCCATTTGTTTGCATTCTGAAGGAACATTGTGCTGGAAAGATCCTATCTGTGTTCTTTAGGATCCTGGAGCAACCTTGGCAAATGAGAAGTACACCAGCATTATACCGGCTAGTAGTTTTCACTGTGGAATATATATGTGTACAGGACAGAGGTTAGACTTGGGGATGTGTAAAACATCCACTGCACTGAGTATGGAATTAGTTTTGCATGATCTTGTGTCCAACACAAATATACATACATAAATACATGTGTGGGTGCACGTCTGTATATACGCACATGAACACATAACATGCATTCATACACATACAAACACATTTTCTACACTATAATCATTGAGGGGCAAAAAAGCTAAGGCCAAAAAATGTATGGAAAAGAAGGTGCTTGGAAGATTGGGACAGCAGGGCTACTGAGGTATGCCAAGCCATGCTGGGACATAGATGGGGGGGGGGGGGAAGAAATTAGAGATGATGCTCATCAGCATTATTCCCCTCCCACACTTCCCAGATTTTGTTTTATCCAAAACCTGGAATCACTAGCCTGTTCTTCTGAATCCTGCCTTGACTGGGAATGCTTTGACAGGATTTCCAAGCTCCAAGGAAGAAAATTGCAGTCCCCCCTTTGCTTTTCAGCATATGCCAATATGATGTCCTGCAGATGTGTTTGAATGTATGTTCCGCAACCCCTCCCCCATCCCGAAGATGGGAGGTGAAACCCAATAGGGAAAGGTTGTGGAGGCTGGAGGAATATCAGGGATCGCGCCTGAAGCTTCGAAGTTCTCCCGGACTTCGTTTCCCCGGGTTGGAAGTCCGTCAGGACAAAACACACACACACACACAACACAAGAGCTCATCTTCGGAACAGTAAAACAAAAGGAGAAATTGCTGTCGATTACAATCGCTTTTCAGAAAAGAGAAGGTGCACTTGAGACAAGGAAAAGTTTGAATGAGTCCTTTGGTCCTTTGTGCCTCTAACGGGGTCCCCTTCCCGCTCTTCCTCCCTTTCTTTTTTTTTAAGTGGGAGTGAGGAAGACTCCCCCCCCCCCTTTGAGAGGCGGCCGAGCTTTGTTAGTGAGCCAGGCGCCCTCTGGCGGCGGCAGTTGTATCTTGCTTGCCTTTCACACGCGGGATGGGAAAGAAAAAGTTTGGAAAAAGTTTTGGAAGTCGCGGTAAAGTGATGAGAGTGTGGAGGTTCGCCCCCCCCCCCGCCTCCTGGCTTTTCCTTAGCTGTGTGAGCGTGCGTGTGTGAAACCGACATGATGACATCCACAGTAGTGCCCGCCTTCCCGTGCCTGTTCAAATAGCATTTCCCTACATCTATCGCCATCGAAAAACTAGGATCCCCGCTACCTCCGCCGTCCCACACCCCTCCTTTCTCAGGGAAAGAGGGAGAGAGAAAGAGAGAGGGAGAGAGAAATCATTTTATTTTCCCACCTCTTTCCTTTTAAGCGCCAAGGGGAAAATAGAAAGCGGGGCAAACCTTCACTAACTTTCGGCCAGCATAAACCGATTTTCCTCTGAAGAGTTGCATTCCCCCCCCGCCCCCCCCGAGCATGACGGAGGCTCGGGATCAGCGCCGCCGAGGGTTCGCGAACCATCCTTGCGGGACCATTTAACACGGCTCCTTTCCCTCCCCTCCTCCTCCTCCCCCCCTCGCCGTCCCGCCAACCAGGGCAGCGGACGCGAACTCTCGCTTTTTTTTCCCTTTCCTTTTTTTTTTTTTTTTTTGCACTTGTCAGATGCGGACAGGACATTGGCCGGCTGGGATCGAGGCAATCCGACCGGCGAAGAGCTCCTCTTAAAAAACAGCCGGCAAGGCGCGTCACCGGGGAGGAAGAGGATGCAGCCCCACCTGGCGCTGATCTGCGTTGCTGTGCTCGGGGGAGCCTTGCCGACGTCGGCTCGACCCGAGCCCATGAGGCGGCAGCAAATGGACCCAAGGCGATGTCAGCTGCCCCGATCGGTGAGCTGGGCGAGCGAGGGAGGAGTGGCAAGAGGAGAGGTGTAAGCGGTGGAAGGAGGTGTGGGTGGCGGAGATTCCAAGTAAGCAGAGCCTGGGCAGCGCCACGTGCGGCAATCTCTTGGGATTTCCTGAGATGATCCCCGAAGAGCCCCTCAGTCAGCCAGTGGTTTCTTTCCCAGGACCCCGAAAGTTTGGGCTTTGCAATTGGGCCCTTAAGATCTGGGGGATGATGGCTGGGCTCTCTGGGGAGCGCCGCCTTTGGCTGGAGAACCGGTATTGGAAAGAGTGGACGTAAATGGTCAACTCGATAAGAAGGCAGATTTCAGCGTCTGCCCCTTAGGCAGCATCGAGCACATTCGGCTGCTTGGCTGGTAAACGGTAGCAAGTAATCCTGTAGTCAAGTCGTAGACTTTTACTACCAGATAGGCTAACAGCCTCTGCTTGCCAACACTGGAGCCCTTCCCATCTTTTCTCAGGTATCCTCTGAAAACGTTTAGGCCATACCTAGATAGCTAATAATATAGGTATGATTATACCTATGTATGTGCTTCTACTCTGATTCAGACGAAGCAAAGCTAATAACTCTTAGGGTCCTTCGGTCAACTTTTCCATATTCTGTAATTTGTTTTTATTTAAACAGGGTTTTCATGGGCGATGTATAGTTTAGTAAAATAAAGACAGCATAATTTACAGCATAATGTCACCTATTCATGTTTCTGAAACGGCAGCTCCTTTAAATAAGTTATAGTGCCAAACTAGGACCTGTCTTCACTGTGCCATGTCCCTTATTAGAAGATTTGGGCCACCTGTCCTGTAGTCTCTTAGCCTCAGCTACCTCAGAGTTGTATTTAGGTTGGGCTGGAGAAGTAGATGACTGTGTATATACTGTTTTGAAATCCTAGAGAAAATGGGGCACCTTGGTGCAAAAACTCAGGTGAATGGATCGTCTTGTCCTTTAGAAGCACTGTGGTTATTACCGGTATCATCTGCTGCCTCAGGTTATATGAAAGCCAGTGGAACTACACACTTGCTTCCAATTTAGGATCAAAAGACTTGCTTCTGACAGGAGTACAGGCGGCATAAAATTAGTATGTATTACTGACAAATTATGGCTCTCTGGGACAATCGGTTAAGGATTTGCAGAACTTCTCTGCATAGGGAGCCCACGTAGGCTGGATAAAAGAACAAGGTTATCTCTTAAGTATAGAGTTCTGGCCTCATCAAATGCAAGGATAAATGACCCAAATAGCTGATCTTAGCTTAGATAAAGAAAGAAGATAAACCTGTTCCACTGAGTGCAGCTTTATATATGTGTTTGATGTACTATGTTCTGTCCAAAAATGTACATATATAACAATGAACAAAATCTTGCTTGTATTAAATGTATTTCTTCCATACAAGAAGGCTGTTTAAAGTACAGTGACCTATAAAGGAGAATATTTGCAGCTCAGGATTGAAATGAGGAGTCCTTGCTGCTCTCTGAGCTTGGTTATTTTCTTGCAGACCTTTCATTACCCAAACTAGGTAACATCATCAGTGCAAGCTCAGAGAGCACCAAGGATAGTAACCTATTCCGTTATTATAGCTCTCTCCAACTCAATGGACAGTCACTTGGATATTAAGGCATAATATATCAGTGAAGTCTGTATCTTTCCCTGCAACAGAGTATTTGTTAAAATCTTGATTGAATTCAGTAGAATTGTTCTAGCACATGTAATGTCAATAGATATTGCTTCAATATCTCTTAGGTTAGTATCAGAGAGATTATGTGAAACAATAGTCTTCAAACAATTCCAAAATAGGTGACAATCACAGTACACACCTGCATTTCCTCTCTGAGTCATTTACTTTTTTTTTAAAAAAAATGCTGGCTTTAAATATCTCGGTCACAGCACAGTCCCTGATGCTGATTAGTTGCCTTTCTGATTTCTTTTGCTTAGCAAAGAGACCTGAACTCTTTCCTCTGGACAATCCGGAGAGATCCCCCTGCCTACTTATTTGGCACCATCCATGTGCCTTACACACGGGTGTGGGATTTTGTTCCTGAGAACTCCAAAGCTGCTTTCCAAGCCAGTTCCAGTGTGTATTTTGAGTTGGATCTCACAAACCCTTCCACTATCTCAGGCCTGGCCAACTGTCAGTTGCTTCCTCGTGGAGAGAATTTACAAGATGTGCTTCCCCGGGATCTTTACCATCGCCTCAAACGCCATCTTGACTATGTCAGGTTGATGCTGCCTCACTGGATGACTCCGGATCAAAGGGGCAAAGGCCTTTACGCTGATTACCTTTTCAATGCCATTGCTGGAAATTGGGAACGCAAGAGGCCTGTCTGGGTAATGCTGATGGTCAATTCCTTGACTGAGACGGACGTCCGTTCACGGGGAGTGCCGGTGTTGGACCTCCACCTGGCTCAAGAGGCCGAAAGGATGAAGAAAGGCACGGGAGCTGTGGAGAAAGTAGAAGAGCAATGCCACCCTCTGAATGGGCTGAACTTCTCCCAGGTAAGGGGGATCTAAGATCTTTTAATTTTCCAGAGAGTGTCTTCTCTTTAAAAAGAACTGGCATTAGTTTGGGACAGGCAGAAACTGCCGAATGAATTAATGCCAGATGCTAATGTATCCTATGTTTATATTCTTCAATGAACTTTCGTGAAATTCTTCTATGAAATGTAGATTTATGGGAACACAGATAATTGGTTTTCCTCTTTAGATAATGTGATAACTGCAATAAAGTTACAACACGGAATCCTAGTGCCAGGACAGGAGGTTAATACTGAATATCTGCACAACGTAGGAATAAGATTTAAAGCCGCCTTGGCACCCTGCCTTTTCTAAACAAGAAAGTTTAGGATGTGTGTTTAGGATAGAATTACCATGTGATTTCTTCCATAATTTGCATTATGGTTAAATATGAAAACTGATTTTTGAAGATAACCTTGAGGAGCATCTGGAAGTCGGGTATGGTGGGAAAAACATCAATGCTGCAATGATTCCTTGGTTTTGAAAAGAATATCAGATGTGTAATATATGGTGCGCACACACACTCACACACACACTCACACAAACACACGCACAAACACAAATAAAGTAAAGAGGCAGCTAGATCTTTCTAGGTGTGTCTTTCAATGAGCATTGATACTAGTGTCTTGGAGGTCAGATTTATTGTGTCAGATGCTTTACGTGCAACAGTGAGAAGCTACAGAAAATTGTCTGAAATTAAGTCACTATGCATGTTAATGACATGCAGGGGAGGGGAAAATACAGACATTTGGCCTGGATCTGCTCCATGCCAAGATGGAAAGGTCCTCAGCACCCCATGCATTCTGTGGAAAGACAGATGCTATATATTTTGTCAAACCCATTCAGATCCGGAAGGGGTTGCTTCTTGCTGTTGCATGTGAGTTTTTCTTTCATTGCTCTGGACCAACATGGTCTTACAGTTACCCTAATACCTATTTTAAATGGATGTATGGAATATGGAATCCAGTGCAATTCTATACACATCTATTATGCAATAAGCTCCATTCAATTTCAAAGGGCCTCCTTTGATGGATATACAGACAGGAGTGGATCTTCAATTCAGGATATTTGCTGTTTTTATAGTTATCGGTATATAAAATGCTGGGATGCTCCTGAAAGAATGCAGTTTCTAAAACAGAACTTTTTTATTTTTCTTAAAAAAAAAACACAAATATGTCATCATTTGTCAATCATTAAGACATTGAAGTACAATTTTTTTTGTTGTGTGTACCCCTCCCTCCCTCCACNGGGTTAGGGGTGCAAGAGTCTTGTAACTTGACAGCTTTAAGACTTGCATGATTCAAATGCCAGAGTTTCTGAGTCAACATTTTAGTTGCTAAGCAAGAGCGTTGTTAAGTGAGTTTCACCACATTTTACATGTTGGCCACGCCCACCCAGTCACATGGCCGGCAAGCCACTCCCACCTGGTCACATGGATGGTAAGCCACTCCCACAAAGCAGGCCACACCTACAGAAGAGGTTCTAAAAAAATTGAAACCCACCACTGCCCCTTTCCCATCTTTATATTACACTACTAAAATACTATATGGGATACTACAAAATATCAGTCTATCCAATGCTGTATTCTTATGCCTTCTGGAACAATCTGAAGATGTTTCAAAGGAAGAAAGCTCAATTTTTCAGAACCTTCATTAGCATTTGAAGAGGGTATGTAATGTTTGATTCAGAGATTATGGCAAAAGTTTAACAAGCCACAGTGGCCTAATTCATTTATGCTAAGATATAAACCATGATTTACAAGCTTAATGGCTGAGTTCCTGTGTTAAGCCAAAACCAAATATACCATGCACCAGTTTAAGACAACACATATTCTGAACAGAAAATTGTATTTTCAAAATAAATTCCTTTGCATCATTAAGTTCTTCCTTAATCTGATGTCTTAGTGTACTGATCTGAACCCAGGGGGATTTTGTTGTAAACATTCCTTGATTTGCTTGCATAAAAGACCCAATTGAATTGGATCCTTTGTGCAGCAAACAGAAAACAACAACAATGCAATATCCGAAAGATCTCTTCTCTCGTTTTCACTTCAGTTTATATGGAAGAAAATCTTTCCCCAGCCAAAAACACACCAGCATTTCAGCAGCAAAACCACTCAGTGTTGCTGCCAAGAATATAATATGGACATAGTCTACTCAGCTCAAGGGAGAATTTTAATAGGATCCTATTCAAGTCCCATTGGAATTAAGGGGATTTAATACAAAATAAGCTTGCATTGCTTAATGCTTCCTGACTGGGCCCAGATTTTGACAATCTTTTGGTGTTTATGAGTCTGCGGTATATATGTGTGTATGCAACAGTGAAAAATGTATGTGTGGCAGAATGGTTTGTACTTGAATACACATATGGATATCAACTTTACTTTCCAATTAAATTGCTTTGTTTTATTAGCAATTAATATACATTTACTTATTCATTTTGCTTTGGCCCTGCCTTCTTTTTAGAGTATGGTCTTTGTTTGATATTTCATATGTGCAACAAATATATATTGAATACTCATACTAGAAGAAAATAATTCTCAGAATTGTTTGCAACGGAAGTTGGGAACCGTGGCTAAGAATCTAGAGATGCTGGTGGTGTAGAGGATTTTTGACTGTTTAGAAGCTAACAAGCAAACAATTCAGAAGATAATGATGAAACAACTCTTCAATAGTGAGAAAATTATATTCATGTAGTCATAAAGAGTCAAATATGATTGAGGCTATTTTATTTTTATGGTGGAACAAATTAACTCAACAAGCACCTTGAATTGTACCCAGAAGTTATTGGAATCTGGTGCAACCGATGGAGTAGTTGTATTCCATGGCCAAAACAAATTGTGCCCATAACTATCTCCCCCATTGCTTCTAGACCAACTGAAGCTTCTGCATGATCTTCAGAGGGCAGACCAATGTAAAACATGTTGCAATGGTTCAATTGTAAGGTGACTATGGATGGAGGAAATTTTAGTTTAAGTCTTTGCAGTTTCAAAATAACTCTAAATGTACAGGTTTGCTTTGGAACATGGAACTCCATTGGAGTTGGGCGGCTAAATAAACATAAATAAATAAATAAAAGTAAGATATCATAACAAATGTACACATATGGCTTTTTATTTAGCATCAGATAATGACCAATAAGAGTGAATGCTGATATAGTGGCTTGATTTAATTTTAAGATAGACATTTATATAGCCCAGGCATTGGCAGGGATGAACAAAGATTTATATAAAATTTGCAGAAACAAATGTAAATACACGGATACTAATTTAAAATATATGGTAATTATGTGAATAAAAATGGCATCTGTCTTCCATTAGTATAAGAGTGTGTCTTGGCGTTCTATGTACACACTCAATACTATTTGTGTTTCCACTGTTGATGTCAACGCTTTCAATGACTCTTTTCCTTTAAATGGGACGTGACTGTTCAGCTTCTCAAATAGAGAACTGCTCTTTGTAAGCTAGGCTCCATGTGATACTTTTAAGTCCATTTTCAGAGTGATTACAAAACGTCCAAACAAACATGATACAGGTGACTTGCAGGCATAATGCGTTATTGTATGGATTGTTTTCCTCCTTTTATTATTTTCCCTATTATTAAGCAGCTCTGAATGCATGCAGGGTGCAAAGGATTGCTCATTGTGGGTACTGGAAGGGCAGGGCCTTTTCTCTATTTCTCCTGCTGCTGGATTTTGTTGGGGGAGGGAAGGGAAAGGATTGGAAAAGCATATGAAAGCAATAATTGATATTTCTCTCCCCAACACTCTTGAAGATCTGTGTTATATTTTCAAGTAGGAAAACAAAACAATCTGGTAACACATATATAACCTACTATATGGAAGCATAAATAGGTCCTTTTCAATGCAGAACCTAATCATCTCCTGTAGGCATCCTTGTTCATACGCAGATAGAAGCCCAATTAGTATTTATCCTTGCCTTCTTTTCCATAGTTTACAATCATTTCCCAATTTGTTAAATGTGTGCAAGGTAGGGAAAGATGCATTGTATTTAAAAGTAGGATTTATGCCTGAAATTACATATACTGAGCATGCCTAGTTTCCCAATGTAATTTTTCATTTGTTCTGTCACTTCTTACTACAGTATTTGTAACCTGTAGAATATCATTTCACCATTTTGTCTGTCAATAATTTCTTCTTTGATTTCATATAAATTCCAGGTTGGATCATCAAAGATAAGTACTTAGTCAACTCGTTTGCTGTGAGTCTCTTTCAATTGCCTTTAGTTTTTCCAAGGAACAAGAATCTCCCCTAGTTATTCTCATTTTTGTATTTTACACTAAAGATATATAAACTTTAGCTTCATTGTTAGTGCTTCTTATGAGCGGTGTGACTTTACTTCAACTAACATTGTATGGTGTGTATTTCTTGTGGTATTATCAACCATTTTATCCAGAATCATATTCAAAGCATTAATTTTTCTTCAATCATTCTGATGGTCAGCTTCTTCAGCCTTCTATTATAATTGGGAAAACTACGGCCATGACAGTATTATGGAATGTTAAGTAAGTTTGGGAACATACACAGGTAACAATAATAACCCCAGAAGTGTCATCTGCTTCTAATTAGGTGCAAACATGTCCCATGTCTAGTTGCCTCTTTCTGTAAAATGTTCTTTTAAAAATAATAATAAGAAAATAAAATGTTATGCAGCAATAGTTTCGGTGGTTTTTATATATTTATAGAATCTATCCTATTAGTCACTTGTGTTCGTCATTTTCTTCTCTAACTACAATCTATTTCTGGTTTGATGTCTTGCATCAACTTTTTAGCTGGGATGCCAGAATATTTCTTAATGCCTCTGAGTAATGATCACTCACAACCTTTGTCTTTCTCTTGCTTCATTTTTGTACGATAGTCTTAATTTTAGGGAACCATGGATTCCTCCACCAGCTTCAATACGTCATGCTAATCTCAGAGAACCCAGGAGCTTTGTTTAACCTTTGAAATGTGCATTCAATTCTTTGCCTTTAGCTTATTTTATTCCTGTCTGACTTTCGTTTTGCTGCTTTCTTTCATCTCCTATCACTGGCTCTTTGTAGGTAACCTTAATCCTTTTGCAGTTGGCGTCTAAGCCTTTTACCCTGTTGCTGTGTTTTTCAAAATGATCAAAATGGCCTTGTGGCGGGTTTGACATTAGCATCTTGATTTTTAAATCTGCCCATTGAATCTCTTCTCCGTGGGGAGCACGTTTCTTTCCCCTTCAGTGAGAAAGAACTCTGATGGACTGAATGAGACAAAACAAAGGACACTACCTAGTCTTTCTCTATTATTATGTTTAAATCATGAATATGATTATCTAGATTATATTATGCTATCCGCAGCAAAGTGCAGTTGATTAGATCAAACCCAGAGGTAAAAGAAGGACTCTGTCTAGGCCCTGCCAGAATTCACACTTAAACCCCATCTCCTTCCTCCTTTCTTAACTCTTAGATCG